TAGATTATGGATCCAAGTAAGATGAAATCATTGGCAATTTCAGTCTTTTTTCCATCAATCATTATGTTACCCCGTGGTAAGGACCTTTGCATTCTTGGTATTGATATGTAATCCATATTAAAGACTGTAGTCTCTGAGAAGAGATCGATAATTTTTCCCATTCCAAAGAAAGGTGACCCAACAGAGTGTGGAAATTATTGAACAATATCATTGATATCACATGCAAGCAAGATTCTGCTGAAAATTATCCAAAAACTTTTGGAACAATATGTCAACAGAGAACTGCCAGATGTGCAGGCTGGATTTAGAAGAGGTCGTGGTACTAGGGATATTATCGCTAATGTTAGATGGATCTTGGCAGAAAGCAGAGAATACCAGAAGAGTGTCTATCTGTGCTTCATTGACTATGCAAAGGTTTTTGACTGTGTGGATCACAACAAGCTATGGCTGACTCTGAGAAGAATGGGAATCCCAGAACATTTGATTGTGCTAATGTGAAACCTATACTTGGACCAAGAGGCAGTCGTCAGAACAGAGCAGGGAGACACTGGATGGTTCAAAATCAAGAAAGGGGTCCGTCAGGGATGTATTTTGTCTCCATACCTTTTCAATCGGTATGCAGAACAGATCATCCTAGATGCTAGGCTATACGAAGAGGAATGTGGCATCAGGATTGGTGGAAGAATCATCAACAACCTGCGCTATGCAGATGACATAACCCTGCTTGCTGAAACTGAGGAGGACCTGAAGCGCTTGCTGCAGAAGGTCAAGGACTGCAGTCTTCAATATGGATTGAAGCTCAACATCAAGAAAACAAAGATTCTCACCACTGGGCCAATTGGCAGCATCAGTATGGATGGTGAAGAGATTGAGATAGTTAATAGTTTTAGTTTACTTGGCTCCATAGTCAACACTCTTGGTAACAGCAGCCAGGAAATCAGGAGAAGAATTTCATTGGGAAAGTTAGCTGTGAGGGACCTCTCAAGAGTACTGAAGTGCAACAACATCAGGCTGGAGACTAAGGTGTGTATGATCCAGGCAATGACGTGCTATGCATCAGAGATTTGGACAGTGAATAGGGATGATAGAGAATTGATGCCTTTGAGTTGTGGTGCTGGAGAAGAGTGTTGAATATACCATGGACTGCTAGGAGAACAAACAGGTTTGTCCTGGAGAGGGTGAAGCCAGAATGTTCCCTGGTGTCAAGGATTCTAAAGCTTCGTCTGACATACTTTGGGCATGTTGCAAGGAGGTACTGGTCCTTGGAGAGGGACATCATGTTTGGAGAGTGGAGGGACGGCGCAGGAGAGGAAGACCCTCGATGAGATGGATCGATTCTGTGAGTGGAGTGGTGGGAATGAATGTGTTTGAGACACTGAGGTTGGCGCGGGATAGAACGGCGTTTAGGGCTCTTGTACATAGGGTCGCAATGAGTCGCAAACAACTCAATGGCACATAATAACAACAACAACCTCATTTTCAGCAAGCAAGATTGTGTCATCTGCGTGGTAATTGATGAGTCTTACTCTGATTCTGATGTCACATTCTTCTTCATAGAGTACAACTTGATGAATTATTTGCTCAGCATATATATTAAATAATATGGAGAATGGATGCATCCCTGACACACACCCTTCTGATTTAAACTATGCACTATTTCCTTGTTCCATTTGGACAACAGCTTCTTGGTCTAGGTATAGATTTCACATGAGCATAATTAAGTGTTCTGGGATTCCCATTCTTCTCAATGTTAGCCATAGTTTCTTGTGATCCACACAGTCAAATGCCTTTCCATAGTCAATAAAATACAAACATTCTGCTGATATTCTCTCTGCTTTCAGCCAGGATCCCTCTGACATCAGCAATGATGCCATGACCTCTTCTAAACCCAGCTTACACCTCCACCCTCCAGCAGTTCCTTGTCAATGTACTGTTCAAGCCCTTTTTGGAGGATCTTCATTACAAGAAGGAAGAGAAATTAAAAAAAAAACAAACAAACCACAAAACACACACACAGAGACACACACACACAAATCAAACCAAATTGGATATCAGGAGAAACATTGAAATTTGCATTAGAGCATTGAGAAGCCAAAATAAAAGGAAGGCTTGCTGAAGTAAACGAGCTGAACAGGCTTCAAAGGGTAGCATGAGGAGACAAAGTATTACAAAGAAATGTGCAAAGAGCTGGGATTAGGGAATGCACAGGGAAGAATTCGCTCAGCATTTCTCACGCTGAAAGAACTGAAATGAAAGACAAATTCAAACCTTGAGTTGCAATACTAAGAGAAGCAATGGGCAAAATCCTGATTGATCCCGGAAGCACCAAAAGAAGATGGAAACAATACACTGAATCACTGCACCAAAAAGAATTGTTCGTCACTGCCATATTTCAGGAAATACCACATTAATAAGAGCCAGTGATAACAAGGGAAGTTCAAGCTGTGTTGAAGACACTGTCCAAAAATATGGCCCCAGAAATAGATGGAATACCAACTGATATGTTCCGGCTAACAGATGCAACCCTGGGCAGGCTCACTAGTCCATACCAGGAAATTTGGAGGACAACTACCTGGCTGACTAGAAGATATTCATACTTATTCCCATTCCCAAGAAGGATGACCTAATAGAATGTGGAAATTATTGAACAGGACCATTAATATCACATGCATGGAAAATCCTTGCCTCTGTAGGATGTCTATTTATACAGGAAAGCAGCCAGATCCTACAGAGCAGTTTTTGTGTCCTGTATTTGCACAACGAATAAGGATGACAGAGAAGAATTGGTGTGTGGTTGGAGAAAAGCGCTGACTATCCCATGGATTGCCAAAAGAACAAACATATGTCTTGGAGAAGATGAAGCCACAGTGATTCTTGGAGACAAGGATGGTGAGGCTTTGTCTCCATACTTTGGGCATGTTGCTAGGAGAGGTTATTTCTTGGAGAGGGACATCATGTTTTGAAAGGTGGAGAGTCAGTGAAGAAGAGGAAGACCCTCAACAAAGTAGACTGTCACGATGACTGTAACAGTGAACTTGAGTGTGTCAGAGACTGTGAGGTGGCGCAGGGTAGGACAAGGTTCAGAGATTTCCAAAAGATTAGGGCAGTGCTAACAGGGCCAACTGTAACAACTTCTTAGGCTCAGGACAAAAACCCTCTCAAGCTGTTTTCTTTTTATCCTTTTTTCCCTCTGGAACAAAGGACATAGACCATATTTAAAAATTTTTTTCAGCACACCATTGTTCCATTTCTGCCCTTGTCACCTCCGTGCCTACGTCCCTCTAACAGAGCAGATGCATTGCTGGCTCAGTTTGTGCAGAGGCTCATCCCTCCACCTGGAACACTCTTCTCGCAGCCAGCTGTGACCGACTCCCTTTGCTCCTTCATATCCTCATCCCTGTCACCCTTCTCATGAACTCTGCCCCCTCCCGCATGCTCTGTAAGGCCCTTTGCCAGTGTGTTTTTCTGCATAGCACAGCATTCCTTTGCTTTTTCCTGTTTATCATCTGTTTCCCTACTAAATGATCACTGTATGAGGGCAGAAATCTTTATCTTTCTTATTCCCTACTGTGTCCCCAGAACCACAGACAGTGCCTGGAGCTCAGTGGATACTTATTGGATGAATGAGAAACAACAAATTGTGTCAAATGCACTTCTGTTCCTTTATCACAGGAGTTTAGAGGGGCACAGGCCTTTCTTTGCCCTGCAAACCCTGGGAGGTGTGAGTGTTGGAGTCTGTGGTCCAGTTGGCTGACTCCCTTCACCTCTACTGGGGTCTGATGTTGCTCTCCAAGTCTTTCCTGACACACCCTCTCCTATCTCTGTGTTCTGGTGTGCTGAGAGAGTACCTAACAGTTGTTCCTGGGGATGGACATGGGGTGGGGGGCAGGGATCAGGAGTTCTTGGGTTAATAGGACCAAAGATAATGACAAAGGCTCCTATGATGCTTGTTGTTATGGAATTGATTTTTGTTTTCACTCACAACAACCGTGATGAGAGTAGAGCTGGCCCAGGGCTTTGGAGACTGGACTCTTCACAGAAGCAGATTGTCAGTTTCCTTATCTCACATTATCCCCCAAAGTCCCCCAGTGTATCACAGTGACCCCTCCTGTCAGCAGTACAGCACTTGGCCATGGTGCCACCAGCGCACCTGTGGTATGTTCCAGGCTCATCTGATGCTTGACTTCTGCGTGCAAGAACCTAAAATTCCACTGCTCTTGAGCTGATTCCAACTTGTGATAACCCTCCATCAGGTTTCTGAGGCTGTAAATCTTTATGGGAGAAAGTGGCCAGTCTTTTTCCTGCAGAATGACTGGTAGATTTGAACTGCCAACCTGTTGGCAGTACTACTCCTTTTGGAGTAGCCCAGCACCTCCCACGCTTAGCCATCAGGGCTCCTTCCCCTCAGGGAGCCTGGGTCATCTCCTGGCCTGTAGGCCTTGTCTCTGCCTTTCATCTCTGTCGTTTGAGGGTTGTTCAGCTGTGAGGCTGAACATGATTCAGAGGATCCACCAGGCCAAAATGAACTAGGAAGAAGGGCCTGACATTCGGCTCTGGAAAATCCTGTGTTATTCACCATTTATGTCTGTGACAGAGATCAGCTCATTTCATTTTCCAAACAACTCTATAAAGAATGTTATAAATTACAGTGGGGGTGGGGGGAATGGACACAGTCTCTCCCCATGAAATTTACAGCCTCTGAAAACCCTCTAGAGGGTTAGCTATGATTCTAAAGCATGTAACAACAGCAACAACTGCTGCTGTGGTCTAAAGTATATTACTGCTGAGACACGGGAAAATAGCATGAATGTCCCCAGGTCCCATCACTAACAGTCCTCCAAATCCCAGAGTCTCCATTCAGCCTCCATTCCTGAGTCAGGAAGTCAGCGGGGCCCTTGTGAAGACTGCTGTGCCTGGGCTAGACTGTGGACACTGCCTCCCTTCCTGGGTTCCTCATCCCTGGAGTCTTCAAGGTCTCACACTGTTTCCTCCACTCCCAGGATGCCATGACCGGGCGGTCCTGCTCTACGAATATGTTGGCAAGCGAACTGTGGACCTACAGCACACGGAGGTCCCTGATGCCTACCGTGGCCGAGGCATCGCCAAGCACCTCGCCAAGGTAGGGTGGCCTTATGGATGGGGCAGCAACCTGGGCCAGGAATAGGGATGGCTTGGCAGTGGGGTGCAAGGGAGAGTGTCTGGTAGATGTTAGGAGTGGAGCCAGCAGGAGTGGTACCACCCAGATCTGTCCTGGTTCTTGGCCACAGGTCAGCCTCCATTACCCACTTCTAAGCTGAGAATGGACACCTGCCAGTCAGTGTTAACCTTCCCAACTCCTCTAGTCCTGGGGGCGGTGCCAGACTGCAGGAACCCCCACCCCAGGCTCAGGGCTGGGCATGTAGCTGCTGCACTCATCCTTGATGCCTGAAGCCTCAACCTCCTGCTCTGCCCTGACCACTGAGACATCATCAGAGGTTTGTGTGGTAGGTAGGACATATGCCCTAAGTGCCACCTGAAGGAGAGCCAGTGAACAGTTCCTATTAACTGTTGCCATTTCTCTCACGAGCTGTGTGAGATGGTCCACCAAGTTAAAGCTGTTTGATAGTCTCCGTGGGCTGAGAGAGCCCTGGTGCTATAGTTGGTTACCTGTAGGACTGCAAACGGTTAAGGGTCCAGATTCATCAGCTGGCTGCCTGGGAAGGAAGGGGCATTCTGAATCCTCCTTAAATGTTTATAGCCTCCATCCCTGAGTTGCCATGAGTTGGAATCTATACCATGGCAACTGGGGTATGGGGTTTTGGGTTTTTTTTTCATGGGAAGAAGTGCCCTGGTGACATAGTATGATATGTGTTGGGCCACCTAACAGAAAGGTCAGTGATTTAAATCCACCAGCTGCTCCCTGGGAGAAAGATGTGCACTTTCCTCCTGAGGAGATTTAAAGTGTCCGAATGCTGAAGGAAGGTAACAATCGACTTGCTGGCATTGGGTTTGGTTTGTTGGTTGATTTATCTTCATGGGTGAAAGCAGATGATGTGATCTTGCTTCAGAGCTTAAAAAGACAAGAAATTGGAAAGAAAAATAGATTTTTATCACTAAAAACGAGGAACATCCAGTTGTCATTTCCACCTCATGCCATCACGTGTTAAGTAACAGGTCAATGAGTTTGACTTGTGTTGGGTTGTTTTTTAAAATTTTATACTGATTTTTTTTTTTACAAAGTTTGAATACATTCTTTTTTGAGTGGGCATTATGGTAAAAGATGAATGTCAAAGGGAGTTCTGGTGGCCGAGTGGCAAGAAGCTGCACTGCAATCCTAGAGGCACATGGTTCAAATCCACCAGATGCTTTGCTGAAGAAGGCGGGGCAATCTCCTCTTGTACCAGTCGGATCCATTTTGACAGTACACACAAAAAATAATAAAAAAAAATTTTAAAAAATAAAAAATTCTCTTGAAAAAAAATAAGATGAATGTCAGAGGTTTGGATGGGGCTGCAATTTTGGTGGCTGACTTGAGTCCTGTTTTTTGTCTGCACCTCTTGATGTCATACGTACACTCGCTACATTTCTTTCTTTTTGGGGGGAGGGGTTTGTGGGTTTTTTAATTGATTTTAATGAAAGTTTATAGAGACTTAGGGATTCTATTCATTCATTGTTGTACTTCCAGTACATTTCTGTTCACTGCATGACTCTTCAGGTGGATTCACCTGCACCCCTCCCAGCCATCAGAGTGTCTTTGACTTTGCTGGTAGAGCTGTTCTGTGGGTCCACTGGGTGTTCTTTCTCTTCATGCAGAGGAGTTAATTCTTCCTTCCTTCCAGTGGGGCCACATCAAGCACCCTGGCCACATCGAGCACCCTGAAGGGCCTTGGCAAATCCCCTGTGTTTGAGTGAGCATTAAAGGTCCACTGTGTACTGGGCTTTCTGTGTGGCCAGGAAATACAGATAACCTGGGCTTAATGCAGAAAACTAGATAAAAGAAGAGTGTACTATAGAAGTGATGCTCCCCTCCCTAAGTGCCACCCCCCTTACTGACTCTGGGGACCTGCCACAGAACATTCCTGTTCTGAGTGCCAGGAAGAGCTGAGGAAGCCTTGGAAGCCTTTAGCCAACTCTCCCCCGCCTGAAGGGGTCAGTTTTGGGGGCTTCCAGGATACATCTTCAAAGCAGCAGGGGATGAATGATAGTGGAAACAAAAGGGCACTCTGTGGTCTGGATCTCAGGGAGCTGCTGCTAGCCAAAAAAAAAGACATCGACCCAGCAGGTCTACCACCAGTGGCACAGCTGGAGAGCCGCCTCCTGTGTGATCCACAACCTTGGAAAACTCACTGGAGAGTCACCTATGAGTATGAGTTGGTACCAACTTGACAGCAGTGAGCTTGAATTTTGGGTTTGAGTCAATGCCAAGGTCCTGAGACCAGGCAAAGATGTGGGTGATGCAGCAGGCTACATAAGAAGCTGGGGTGGGAGCTATAAAGCAAAAAACAGAGGCCACAGTAGCAGCCACTGCTCTGGCTCTGGTCCCACTAGTAGCTTCTGGGTGCTTCTCTGCACTTCCCTTGCAGGGTGATGCTTCACCCACCCGTCTGCACACAGAATCACAGCCACCTGGAGGTCAGCAGCCCCATAATCCAGCACGGGGCTGTGTAGCTGGGACAGGCTGGCACAGTGCACCATGCCTCAGTTTCTTCTAGCTACCTTGTGGTGTGGTGGCAGCACTTTTTTGCCGGGAAGGTCTTACCCTGATGGAGCTGTCATCGTTCCCTTCAGCTCTGCTGCTCAGACCCTGCATTTCAGAGCCCTCCTGGATCTCTCATATTCCCCTGAAACTCTGATCTCTCTGTCCTTTCCCCAAGTTCTCATGCTGATGCTGGTGGCATAGCCCAGTGCAATGGGGAGTTGCATTGCTGATTGAAAGGAGGCATCTCCTGGCTGTTGAAATCTTCCAACAGTTCCAAGGAAGAAAGAGGCAGTCTCTTCCTGTGTAATTTACAGCCTTCAGAAGCCCACTGGAGGGTCAGCAGTGAGCTGGATCCAATTCGATGGCAGTGAGTTTGAGTTTGAGCTTATGAGTACTGTCTGGGGCAAAAGATCAGCTTCTCTCCATTCCACCCCACCCCCAGTCTATCACACAAATAATTTTACAAAGTATGTTTTGTAAGTATGTTGCCAGGAGGGACGGGTCCTTGGAGAGGGACATCATGCTTGGGAGGGTGGAGGGACAGCGCAGGAGGGGAAGACCCTCTATGAGATGGATTGATTCGATGACTGGGGTAATCGGGATGGGTGTGTCAGAGGTGGTGCGGTTGGCGCAGGACAGAGCAGGGTTTAGGGCTGTTGTGCATAGGGTCGCTATGAGTCGGAAATGACTCGACGGCACATAACAACAACAACAATAACAATAAAAAAATTATCAAAACAATAAAATTCATGTAACAAAACTAACCATTTTTATATGAACAATTCAGTGATGTATGATATACTCCTAATAGTATGCAGTTATCACCTCACTAGTTCCAAAATATATTTTCATAATTCAGAATTAAACCCCATACCCACTGCTGAATCTTGTTCCTAGGGAGCTCAGTGGCCTAGTGGTTGAGGAGTTGCAATGCTAGTCCAAGGCAGGCAGTTAATATCCACCAGTTGTTCTGGGGAGATAGATTGGTAGTCTTCTCCCTTATGATTTTACAGCCTCTCAAAACTTGCTATGAATTGGTTCCAGTTCTGGCCAAGTTGTAGGGAACTGCACGGCCTACTCAAAAACACACAGTTTGAATCTACTAGCTACTTCAAGGGAGAAAGGTGGGCAGTCTCCTCTCTGAAAAGCCACTGAAGATTCAGCAGTCAGTTGGTTCCAGCTGCATGGCAGTGTGTTGTAAGTTGATCCTTTAAGAGTTACCACATCCAGCTCCTGATAGTCACTAAACTGCTTCCCTGCCTCTGGGAGTTTGCTGGTTCTGGAAGGTTTATATCAGTGGAATCTATGTCCTTTTGTGATGAACTTCTTTTATTAATCATACTTTCAATGTCCCGCCACATTTTAGCGTTTATCAGGACTTCATTTTTTTTTTCTTTTTTATGCCCAAGTACATCATGGAAGGGTGGAGGGACAGCACAAGAGAGGAAGACCCTGGATGAGATGGATTGACTTAGTGGCTGGATTAATGGGGGTAGATGTGTCTGAGACACTGAGATTGTCTCAGGATAGAGCAGGCTTCATCACTATTGTGCATAGGGTTGCTGAGTCACAGGCAACTCCGTGGCATATAACAACAATGTAATTCTCCATTGTGTGGACATACTAGTTGGTTTATCCGTTCATTTGCTGATGAACACTTGAGTTATTTCTACCTTTTGATTATTGCAAGTAATACTGCTGTGAACATTTGTGTACATAAGTCTCTGATTTGGTTCTTTTGTAGCTCACTTCCCCCTCCCCCTTTGTGTACCATCGAATCAGATCCGACTGGCACAGGAGGAGATTGTCCCTCCTTCTCCAGTGGAGCATCTGGTGGAGTCAAACCATGCACCTTTGGGATTGCAGTGTGGCCTCTTGCCACTAAGCTATCAGAGCTCCCTCTGTAGCTCCTTTTTTTGAGGGTCTAACAGCAACTCACAATGGACTGTGGCCACAGAGCTCCCTGAAGCCCAATTAAAAAGTATTCTATTTAATCAACATAAAATTATTCTTTCCAATAGATAGAAGCTCCTAATCAGCTGCTCAGGAGCCTTGTCTGGCTCAGCAGTGGTGAGTCCTCTCTGGTCAAGCCTCTCCTGTTGGATCCAGCGGCCACGGCTTCTGCTCGAGAGGCAGATGGCCCCAGAGTGGCCAGGCAGTGGTCCCCAAGCTCATTGTCTCCGCCACACTCCCACCCTCTCATTTAACTTTTAAGTTCTCTTAACTCTGTTTGAGTTGGAGCACCCTCTGGCCTGGAGGATTTGGTGGGGTAGCCTCCAGGGGGCATGTTTCTCCTTGTTCCTTGGTGGCCTTGAGGGCCCTGGACTCCACAATGCTACTTTCTGAGTCAAGGATGCCCTCCCTTCAGACTTGCTCTCACCATAGCTGGACCAAAGCACCTCCCTCAGAGGCCCCGGGTGAACGGCTATCAGGCCCTTGAACTCTCACCAAATGCTGAATCTGGCTTATTTTGAACAGTCTAGTGCTGTATTTCCTTCCTGCCTCAATGTACCCAAATGCTTCCTCATGTGTTAAAGTGCCCTTCCTTCCTCCTCCCTGTGTAGACATTAGTTTTTTTAGTGGGCATTGAGTACACTCTTTTAGGTGCTGGGGATTCAGTGATGCAGCCATGGTGGACAAGATGGGAGGGCACTTGGTGTTCTACCTCCCACCTTCACAGCCCACTGGCATTGGCCTGCTTTGCAGATGAGATACTGAATTCATAGAGGTAACAGTGCTGCAGTGGTTACTTGGGCTGCTCTGCTCCAGCCTTGCTTTCAGAGAATTTTGGCAGAACAGGGCAGTGGATCAGCCCATAATCCACACCTACAGAGATTTGTCTCAAGGACCTGCCTTAGAGCACAATCATTTTAGTTCACAAAGCCTTTCTGCGTCTCCAGACTGCTATTTGTCCTCCAGCCTTTAAAAAGCAGACACAGGCTAGGGGATACAGGAACTCTCTGGCAGACCTTCAGGGGTACCCAGGGAGGAGAAAAAAACTGGAGATGACTCATTAGTGACAGCTGGCCCAGGGGTGACCTCAGGGATGCTGTCCACAGATACTCAGGATGGAATCAGCTAAGCTGATAGTTGTGAACTACAAGAGCCACAAGCTGTGCCAGAAATGACACCAAACACTAAGTAGATTGACTCACTTAGCTCCTAAGACAACCTTGGAACATGAAACCTCAGCCTCCCCCTGTTTCATTGACAGGGAGACACAAGGTAGTAGAGATTAAGACAGTTGTCCAGTCAGGGGTCAAGTCCAAACTTGAACTCAGGACCTTCAGGCTCTGTGGCTGGCCTCTCTCGCTCCCCAACCTTAAGGGAGAATCCTGCACTGCTTGTAAAGTAGGATGCTGATGGTATTAGGGGTGGTTATTGCCATCTTTCTCCAAAAGATGCTTTCCACTTAGGCCTCATGCAGAGCAGTGGGTTGGGACTGATTTTTGCTGAGAACATGGAGACAGAGCAGCCATCCTTTTTCAGTCCAGTAGGTTGTGGGATGGCTTTGCGTCCTAGACTGGCCTCAGCTCTGTGCCATTGACTGACTTTCTCTCTCTCTCTCTGGCTCCCAGGCTGCATTGGACTTCGTGGTGGAGGAGGATCTGAAGGCCCATCTCACATGTTGGTACATCCAGAAGTACATCAAGGAGAACCCCCTGCCACAGTACCTGGAGCGTGTGCAGCCCTGACTGCCGCCCCCCAGGCAGGAGCACTCAGTTCCAGACCTTACCTTGTGGCCTTTGTCCAGCCATCAGTGTGCTCTCAGGAATCCCCAGCCCTGTCGAGATCAGACTTAGCTATGTGTATAAGTTTGCTTCTTGATGGCCCCATCCTCAGACTCCTGGAAGCATTCTTTTGTTTTTGAAGGAGGCACTGGATGAGGAGAGAGGATGTTCTTCCTGCCTTCCCCACCTACCTTTCTGCTTGTTTTCATGACTGCTATGGCACACCCCTCCCAACCAACCTGACTCCTTTGCTCCCCTCCTCTACTTTGCTGCAGTGGGATAGGGCAGAGATGACAGGCTGAGAATAGCCGTCCCAAGAGGAGGGCATTGGCGAGGATGGTGGTAGGTTTCTGGTTGCTGTGAAGGAGGAGGCCTCGTGGCAGCAGCGCAGCATTATCTCTTCACAGAGATGGGCAGCTTCTCAGGAGACTGTACCAGCCTCTTTATGTCCTTGGCCACCAGGCAGATGAGCACCATGGCTAGGGGCCAGCACAGAGTGAGAACCTTGGCATCTGACCTCTTGGTCCCTGCTCTGGGATTTCTGGAATGTCAAAGGATAGACCATTTGGTCAGCAGGAAAGCTCATTTGGGGCCCCTGCTGCCATCTCCATGGTTGGTGTCCTTTCTACAGATGAGCAGAGTGTTCCCTGAGGACAGAGGAGCAATAAGAAATGACCACTGGTGTAGCACTGTGTCTTGGCTGGTGCTTGAGCCTCCCCTTCTCTTCTTCTCATTTTCCTACAGGCAGGACCCTAGAACAGTCTGTCTGAGGTGGAGGAGAAAGGTAAACAGCACTGGCCTAGGCCAACTGTACACACCCAAGTGGGCATACATGCACACATACATGGGACACATGAACATATACACAGGACACCTCAAACATACACAGGACACATACACGGGGTCTGTATGCCCAGCCTCCTGCAGAGGGGCTGCCACTCAGTGCTGTCTTCTTTTCAGTACCTCATTCCCTTTTATCAGCAGTGTAGGAAACTAGGACTGCCAGTCCCATGCCCACTGCCCTGTGCTTGTCTCTCTACCAGAAGCCCAGCTCTAGGCTGCTGTGTGCATATAGTCACAGTGGTCACACTCTGGCCACTTGACAGGTGGACCCACTGACTTGTCATTGACCTTTGGAGCTAGGAGAGAGGAAAGGAGGCAGTGTACAGGCAGCATCTCACATGCCCATACTACCATCCAAGAAAGACACACATATTCCTCTTTGCTGCTGCCAGACATCTGCTGTGATTTTTGCTCAGCCCTCAGGATTCCCTGAGAGGAACTAGGGCCTGGCCCCCTTCCCTTGGCTACCTTAAGATATTGGCTGTCTATAGCCCATTACTATTCCCAAGATCCTCCTTAGCCCTGTGCAAGCCCCGTTCTGAGGTTGACACCAAGGGGAGAAAACAGAGATGGCCTAGTCTCCAACAAGAATTAGTTAACAGGTAGAGGATTCATTTGTGTTCCCTCGGGACTAGGCAGGACCATGAACATTTCTCTCCCCAGCATCTCAGTGAACAGTTAACTGACACGTGGCCTCCATCACTCACATGGCCTACAGTGAGGGACTGGCTCCAGGAAGCTTATGCAACCTCTCTCCATTGGCCCCTGGGCTCCTGTGAGCTGCGCGGAGGGCAAGGGCAGGCACTGGAGAGCAAAGGTGGCCAGGTTCTCAGTGAACAGTGCCCAAACCTCAGATTCTGTAGTATCCTGCCAGTGAGTGCACACACAAGGACAGGAGCAGAAGGGTCCTTTTGAGGGGACTGGCTCCCTTCCCTTTGTCTGCCTTAAGGTGCTGCTGCCCCTGTTGGTGGCTATAGCTCCAGTGGGGCCCATTGTTGGTTGGCATCAAGTAACCAGGTCTCCTGAGTTAGGGTAACTGTCTCTGCAGACCCTGCTTTGGATCACCTAGCCCACCCTTAATTGGTGCTGATCCCATTTCCCCATCCCTATACCATTTATGCCCTGCTTCCACCTGCAGGAGGCAGGTCATGTGGAATCATCCCACGTGCTCAGGAGTAGAGGGACACTCAAGGGGACCCAGGGTCACCAGCCCAGGAGCTCTACCCTGCATGAAACCTCCAACACGTGGGCTCTTTTTCAAGCCGTGCTCTGTGAGTTTTTCTTTTTGTCTTGTCACAGTAAGTGGTCACTCATGTGCCTTTCTGACTTGGAATTTGTTACAGATGCTCCTGGGCCAACCCTGGTCTTATATCTGGTCCCCTGTATTACTTTTAACTCATGGACATACCACATCAAGTGCTTTTCAATAAAGGTGTGGCCTTGTCCTCCCAGCTGGGGCTTCTGCTCCTGAGAGAGGGAGGAGACCCTGCCACCCCATTGGTCTTGCCTCCAGGCAGAATTATCTCAGCAATCCTAAAATAGGCCCCACTTCTGCAACTGGGAAAACAAGAAGGAAGGTGGAGTATATGAAAGGAAAAGAGAAGGCAGGGTCCAAATGTCTGTTATCTGTACTGCTGTCCCTAGATTTGGAGCTCTGTGCTTGTGAGTGGTAAAAATAAGCCTGTTTTTCCACATAAGGAGAACAAGGATCTGAGAGGCTATAGGGCCAGGCTGAGGGCTTGTGGCAAGGACGCAACAGAGTAAGGTTCATGTTCCTGTCTACCTTCAAACTCCTCCTTTGTATCCCTGGCCAGGAAATGAGGCAGGTGTTTGAGCTCATGTTAGAATGGCAGCAAACAGATCTAAAGCAAATCTGAAAACATCACAGCTGGTGGAGCTACATGCTATGCCAGGGCCACCTGTCTGGGATGCCCTTGGAGGGCCCAGTAACCTGAGTTGGAATTTTCTCTTTTAGAGATTCCTTTCAGGGTGTCCCATCCCCAAACTAATGGAAAAGTAGACACTGCAGCTGTTGGCTTTCAAAAATCCTGTCCATCTTCCTTCCCAAAGTAATTCCACTGTGGGGGGAGAGTGTGATTAGCCCAAGGCTAGAGATGAGCCTGCAGTGCATCCAGATCAGGAGGAGGTAAACTCATGGTTCAGATTCAGTCTCTGCCCTCTATTTGTATGGTAATGTAGGTCATAGGTGCACTTTAGGTAACAAGTGATCTCTGGGAGGAATAAACACATGAAACTCACACCTTCCTTGCTCATTTGGAAGACCAAAGCAGGGCTCCATTCCAAGCTGCATAGTCTGATAGCTAATCATGAGTAGCTGCTGGACTAACACATGAGAGTATTTACAGAGCATCTCTTCACTCTCCTCCTTAGTTCAGGAGTCTCATACTTACTCAAGTCCACCCAAATGTTCCCTCTTCTCAGGGCCCCATTCTTTTCAATCCTTTTACATAAGAGATCTAACAAGGCTTGTCTTCAGTTTCTAACGCTGCAGCCTATCTAGGGTTAATCCTGTCTTTTCAGTTGTATCCATCTTACTTAAAAGATATTAAAGCAATTCTTTTTCTAGACCTCCAAGATGCTCTCTTGTTTTGTCTCCATGCCTTTCTTACCAAAAAGCTGCAAATTGGCCTGCCACTAAAACACCAATCCTGGAAACAGTCGAGGTGAGGACATTCATTATATGCTGGTATATAGGAGACTCTTAAACAACCTACATTATGCAGATGATACAGCTTTTTTTAAACTGAAGGGGAATGGAAGCGCTTGCTGCAGAAGGTTAAGGATTGTGGTCTTCAATATGGATTGAAGCTCAGCATCAAGAAGACACATTCTCACCACTGGGCCAATTGACAGCACCATGATGGATGGAGAAGAGATTGAAATTTGAACAGTTACAGCTTGCTCAGTAAATACTCTTGGCACCAGCAGTCAGGAAATCAAAGGACTAAATGCATTAGGTAAATCTGCTGTCAGGGACCTTTCCAGAGTGCTGAGAAGCTACGGTGTCATTCTGGAGGAGACTTAGCTGCGCCTGGTCCAGGTGATGGTCTTCACAATTACTTTCTTTTTTTTAAAAAATAATTTTAATGAACATTTACAGAGATTTTGGATTTCCATTCATTCATTGTTGCACTTTTCTCCCTGCCCAGCCCTCCTTCCTGCCCCACCCTGCTCCAGTTCGCTCCTCTCTTTGAAAAGTAAAAGAAAAATTCTTTCTTTGATATACAATCCCCCCGTATCCCTCCCACCACCCCAAGTACACTCCACTATGCAACCTTAATTGTGGACTCTTGTGATAACCATAATACCCTATCATACATCGCTTTTAACTTATTCTTTCCCTCATCTGTTTCAATGCAGTATAAGCACTTTATCCAGTTTTTCTCAGTCTTACCCCAGCCTTGTTATCAGTCCCATTTTACAGCAGTGGCAACATGCAGTATTTGTCCTTTTGCGACTGAGATATTTCACTCAGCATGATGTCCTCCAAGCTCACGCATTTTGAATAATATTGCATGAGTTCCTTGTTTTTCAATGCAGTGTAGTATTCCATTGTGTGAATATACCACAGCTTCTCTATCCATTCATTTGTTGATGGGCACCTGGGTTGTTTCCAACTCCTTGCTATTGTGAACAAAGCCCCGATAAACATGGATATGCATATATCTGCTTAGATGTCATTTATGGTCTCTTTGGGATATATTCCCAGTAGTGGAGTTGCTGGGTCAAATGATATCTCTATTTGCAACTTTTTGAGAAAGCGCCATACCACCTTCCATAGTGGTTGCACCACAATTACTTTCTATACCTCAGAGAGCTGGATAACGACTACTGATGACAGAAGAATTGATGTCTTTGAGTTATGGTGCTGCAGAAAAGTCTTGACCATACCATGGACCACCAAGAAAACAAATAGGTCTGTCCTGGAGAGAATGAAACCAAGTTTCTCCTTGGAGGCTAGGATTTTTGAAGCTCTGTCTCACATACTTTGGGCATATGGCCACGAGGGACCCATCCTTAGAGAAGGAAGGACATCATGCTCAGATGGGTGGAGGGATAGCACAGGAGAAGAAGACCCCAATAAGATGGATCTATACAGT